AGAACGCAGTACACTCTTCGGAAAAGAGTAGGGAATTGTCTCCCGGTGTACTGTCCAATCACCACCAGAAGGACCCCACTGGAAATAAGTCTTCTGACTTTCGTGGGCTCTCCTTTGGTGTTTACACCGAATAAATTCAATCCAATCCAATCCAAGCCCTATGTTTTGTTTTACAGACAGCCATACAGGATTAGGATTAGTTATTGCTATTATTACACAATATATCATACCAGCCTCCTCTAAAGGAACCAGAAACTTCGCTCTCGAGAACTTGTGACGCATTGCTTTAAACCGCGTACTGTACAATAAGGGGAGCTGTTCCCCCAGGCTTTTAGACGGAAGTAACTGAACAAAAATAGCCCAATGATCTAGGCACAAAGGCCTACAAAATGAAGTATATTACTTACTTTTACCTTGGACTACTTTTAGCATCGACATTGAATAATACTTACTAATGTTTTTTTAAGCTTTTAAAATGTAATAATTATATTCTGCACCACAGTGTTGTGTGTACGAGGCATCATGTCAGCGTCGACCAGCAAATCGAAATGTAATTGATAGGTATTTGGAGTTTGTACCAACAATGAAGCTAAACGTAATCAATAAACCAAGTAGTAATAAAGGTCGTAATGAAGTACACATAAACCTGGCCATGTGAGCGTTGTTAAAATATGTTAAAAGGTAGGTAAACAACCGTTACATTGGTGACACTTTGAACTATTTTACTACACATCCGATAAATGAAACATCTGAGATAGTATATTAGAGAGGCCGACTGTTACATTTAAATTATATAATTTAACATTTAAATTGCTTGTTTGTGTGTTTAAGTTATTAATAAGTTATTAATAGTTATAATTTTTAATTGAAATAAAACAAGAGTTCTGATAAAATATGTAAAAGCGTGAGTAAACAACAGTTACATTGCTGGCACTTTTAAATATTGTACTACTGTTGAAATTGAATTACACAATTCAACATTTAAATTGCTTAGCGTGTGTGCTTAAGTTAATAAGTTATTATAATTTTTAATTGAAATTAAAACGAGCGTTCTGATAAAATACGTAAAAAGGTAGGTAAATAACCGTTACGTTAATGACACCTGTGAATTATTTTACTACACATTCGATAAAGGAAACATCTGAGATAGTATTTAAGAGTCTTGAATTATACTGTACAATTAAACATTTAAATTGCTTAGTTTGTGTGTTTAAGTTATCAAGTCATAATTTTTAATTGAAATTGAAACGAGCGTTCTGATAAAATATGTAAAAGGGTAGGTAAACAACCCTTGCATTGGTGACACTTTTAATTATTTTACTTAATATTAGATAAATGAAACATCTGAGATAGTATATTAGAGAGTCCAACTTTTGCATTTAAATTATACAATTCTACATTTAAATTGCTTGCTGGTGTGTTTAAGTTATTAATATGTTATTATTATCATTTTAAATTGAAATTAAAACAAGAGTTCTGATAAAATATGTAAAAGAACTATTTTGAACTATTTTACTGCACATTCGATATATTTTTTTTAGAGAGGCCGACTGTTAAACTTAAATTATACAATTCAACATTTTAAATTGCTTGTTTGTGTGTTAAGTTATTAAGTTATTATAATTTCCAATTGAAATTAGAACTAGCGTTCTGATAAAATATGGTAAAAGGTAGGTAAACAGCCAGTACATTGACACTTTGAGCTATTTTTACTACACATTTAATAAATGAAGCACCTAAGGTAGTATTTACGATAGACCTTTTGTTAAACTTGAAATGTACTTTTAAAATTAGTAAAGTATAATTTTTTTATTGAAATTAGAACGAGAAATATTTCTTGCTAAGTAAGAAATGCATTGATAATACTGTTCATATTTTTTTCACACTCTTGTTAATTAATTTGTTGCTTCTTTAGTGTGAAGTCTGTTGATAACTTACCTGATCTTTTTACTTTGTCAAAGCAATGGATTTTCAAGTGTTTCCAAATTTTACCACATATGGTGGTATAGCCCACAATTTTAAAACGATGGTCCCTGTGTACACAAAGTAAAATGGAATAAAGCCATACCATCTTTTTGGATGGATGGATTTGTTCGGTAAACATCAAGGAAAGTTTAGGAAATACTTTCCTTACAGTGGGGTCCTTCTAGTGGTAATTGGGCAGTAGGCCATCCCGAGGAAAAAGACACAATGTGTGTGGGAAAAAACAATTTTATCTAATTTTTCCAGAATGTGAGAATCTAAAATTAAGTAAGCACAAAATGCATTGATAGATCCCCTCTAAGGGTTGGACTGCCTCAGAGAATTTTAATCTTCTTGTCGGGGACATTGAACTTCTCCCTCTTCCCGTTGAGCTATTTTACTACACATTTAATAAATGAAACACCTAAGATAGTATTTAAGATTGTCCTTTTGTTAAACTTGAAATGTATTTTTAAAATTAGTACAGTAATTTTTTATTGAAATTAGAACGAGAAATATTTCTTGCTAAGTAAGAAATGCATTGATAATACCGTTCATAATTATTTTCACACTGTTGTTAATCAATTTACTGTTTCTTTAGTGTGAAGTATGTTGATAATTTACCTGATTTTTTTACTTTGTCAAACCAATGGATTTTCAAGTGTTTCCAAATTTTACCACATACAGTGCTATAGCCCACAATATCTAATTTTTCCAGAATGTAACTAAAATCGATTAAGTAAGCACAAAATGCATTGACAGATCCCTTCTAAGGGTTGGACTGCCTCAGAGAATTTTAATCTTCCCGTCGGGGACATTGAACTCCTCCCCCTTCCCGTTGGACAAATCCATGCGCCAATACTGCTTGTATTGGCATTTAAATGTATAGATCAAGGATAAACCATAACATACTATAAACGAATAACATTGTTAGACAATGCAGTTGCATACATTATACTTAGGCCTTTGTGTCAACGCAGGATTAGTCTTATTATCTTTAAAAATACAGACGAATCGTAATATGCGAAGTGTACAGCCATTAACCTTACAAAGCAAACGCATCCCTAATATAATCACACGGATTTACAATGGAAATTTCGATTGAATTGAAATGTTTAATTTATTAGCTGTTTTATGACGGTTCCTTAAGTAAGGCCAATGAAGCTACTCTATCCTCCAATTTGAATATGAGACATGAAGTGCGAACGTCGTTCGGATGTCTGTAATATAAGCGATTCCGGCAGGTATCCATCAGTAATGTGGTTATTTATTTTTTTCTCTTTTGTGGGATAGTCCCACTTTTATTTCATCATAATATCATAACTACGTAGATAACATAACATATGAAATATATATCTGTTATGTAATTACTTAGTACACGTCTCTTTACTGTTCATCATAACAAGTGTTCAGACATCGACTATTGTATTCTTTATTTTTTTATCATTCTCTTCTATTGTTTGTCTTCCATAGAAGTCAAACATCACACATTTATTTATACATATATTGATTTAAACTTATCTAGATCGACCATGGACCATTTATTTTTTGCTTTTTCCCTATTAATTAAAAATTCACATGCAATTAGTATGTTTAGTTCAGATAAAACATCACCCAAGGACATTTTGTCCTCAAACATAATCTATTCATTATTTTATTTTCGCTATAGCTTCCAATAATGGTTTTGTTCCATTGTACTTTATCATATATTTTAAAACATGATCACATCATAGTGTGTAATTTCGTCCAACATGCTTCTATATCTTTGCATTTAAATAGCATGTGTTCTTAATTTTCAGTAATATAACAATACTTGCACATAGATTGGTTGAGGATAATTTCCATACATTTAGTCTATGTTTTGTAGGTAACAGTCTATGTAAAAAAATTAAAATTTAACTGTGCAATATTTTTCGTATGTAACATTGAATTAATTTTTTATCTTCCAACATAGGTCCCAGTCTATTAACTCCATTTCCCACCTTTTTGGAGCATTTGGTATAATATATTTTCCATTTATAAATGACACATAAAAAACATTAACTTTTAGTTTACTTATGGAAGTGTATCAATAATGTGAACATTTCTGTGCAATAAACAAAAAGGTTGGTGTGCTACAATCATTTTCCAGTTTTTTTTTGGAATTGCATTCATTAACACCATGTATTCTATCATACCATTTTCTGTTTTTAAAAGCTGGGGGATAATTTCACCCAGTATAAATCTGTTATCAACAATAATATCTTCCATGGTTTTAATGTGTGAGTCTACCCATGATTTGAAGAAAACAGATTTGTTTTTTATTTTTATGTTTTTATTTTCCCAAAGTCTTTTTTTTTTTTTTTTTATTTCACAGATGCATTGTGGCTGTTTTGCATGCATATTATTAAATCGTGAGCAAGTAAGAAGCAACTTCAAATAAAATACCGGCATTTTATTTAGCGCTAAATGCTTATCTAAATTTATGTCGGTCATAACTAATTTATACTTTACTGGGTACATATAAAAACATGGAATGCACTTCCATTTACCGGGATCTGGACTTAAAAGTCGTTTGACCCAACCTAACTTGAGTGAGTCTAGCATTGAATTATATTTACTATAGCGCATTTGTCAATAATACGATTCCTGATCATTCCCAAAATATCTATAGTAACGTCGTGCTAGAAAACACGATGTTTCACTGAAGCCCCGAGGTCTTACTGTTTCACACTACTTCCGCTAATTATAGAAAAAAAAAACCATTTTAATATGGGAAATTACTCCATATCCAATTGGCAAAATTGTTCACTATGCGAGTGAAAATGCGAAACCTGTCATCATAACTAAACCATGAGGGTGTACTTTGCCTCTGTGATTACACGTCTAGTTAGATAGAAGGGGGAAATAATAATGAGCGACGAGAATCACACATGGAAACGCTTGCAAAACTGAATGTGTTTTTTGGAAAGATGTATATGGTGCAACAAAAAAATGAATCCTGATATATACATAATATTCTCTCGAAAAAAAAGTCCACAATTTTTTTTTTTTATAATACTTATACATTCATAATGTAATAACATCATTTATGAAAATGAACATACCTTTTAAAGGTAAAAGGTGATGCAAGTCTACAAAGAACACGTGATCTTCTATTGTAATTTCCAATGAGTCTTCACCTTCATCGAAAAAATGAAAGCAGTCGACCAGTGGTATTTGGACTAGTTCCTCGGGTGCTTCACCATCGAAGTACCATGGTCCAGGCTGAACAAACACCTTATAATGAAACACGCATAGTAAATTGTAGGCCTACTCATTTAGCGTAATTTGATTTTTAATTGGATAATCGGGAGTTTTCGAAAGCTTACGAAAACGACAACGAATACGGTTACATCATCAATTTCTAAAGCTCTATCCACACTATCAAATTTTCTTTGACAAAAAAATGTGACATCCCCATATATAGTAATGCTATGCCTATATATGGTCATGGTGTGATGTCATCATGCCCATATATGAGCATATCACACTTTTTTGTCACACAAAATTTGATAATGTATTAATTAAGGATCTTATTGAGCTTATACAGCATATTATGAAGAATGTTTAAGGTACAAATGACGATAACGACAAAGACGTATTCGTATTCGTTATTGTTTTCGTAAGGTTGCGATATATTTTTAATTGCTAAATGTAACACACATATAATGTAATACATGTCACAGAGTGTCTTAATTGCCATTTTTAATACGTGAATGACATTTGTTCTAACTTTAAGGAAGTGTTTAACTTCAACAACTTGTCATTCTGTCATCTTTCATTCTATTTATTCATTAATTTGTTTCTATCATTTGTCGTTCGTTTCGTTAATTCGTGTATCCGTATAAGCATGCTACGTTAATGGGAGAATCCAAGGTTGGATGCTCTGGTGCCAACATTAGGAACTCTTTACCGATTAACATTAAAACGGAAACATCGTTATTTACTTTGTAAAAAAATATCGTGTTAGGCATGGCCTTTTTATTTTCTAAAGCTTGAATAGTAAGAAAAAAGAGTCTATAAAAGGTAATTTTAAATAAGGAATATAATATTAAGTAATCAATTAACGCTCCGTTATGCGTATTTATCATGCGCAATTCAGTGTTGTACAAGTTACAACAATTTTTCCTTTGGTATAATCGTCTTGTCATTGATTTTATTCTATTACTAATTACTGTAATCCTTTCGGGAACCACCTTACACTACGTCATCATCGTACGTGACGCAAATGCATTCATGGTTAACATGGGAGTACACTAAGATTAAACAACAATACATATTCATTTGTGACTTACCTTGCTCAAAAGACCAGGCCACTGAGAAATATAAGCTTCCGTTTGCTGGAGAACATTCGCAAGTTCCACCCATAGGCTTTCAGTGGCCTTAAGTTCCCCTTCTTCATCAACAGTAGCCCTAGCTGTAAACACGATCGTGGAAACACCTTCCTGACGCGTTGTCATGTGTATGAGAACCTTAAAACGTAAAGAAAGAATCACTCCATTATCATCGACGCATTTTTAATTTGTTGTGTGTTTATACAGTCCAAGCATAGATTATTAATGGAAGGATGTAGAAGAGTAGGACAAATGGATCCGTACTCTACCGGGATCCGACGAGCATCAGTGAATAATTTTGATCGATGATTTTAGCCAGAAGCTATAAATCATTTACACTTCGCTAGTGTTTAGTTCCAGATTCATTAGTAATAGGACACAGCATGCTGCTTTTGTATTATCTAAAGACAGTCAGCCATTAATCGAGGATTGCCGCAATAGTGCAAACATTGATAGATTACATGTGCATTTGCATAAATCTATGCCTACTGTTACTAGTGAACAATAATTAAAACATCATCAACAAGATATTAATCGACTTTTGTTTTGCTTAAAGCAAAACACTAGCTCGCCAATTAGAGGGTGGAAGCGATGTTTTGTATACTAAGTCGCAACTTATGCGTTAGAGTGGATTTAAAAAAAAATCTTTTACTGAAATGCATAAGATAAAAAAAAAAAAAAAATTCACCATACTGCTTCAGCCAGCTTAGCATCATTATACAGATGCAGAGCAAAAGGTTAGGCCCAGCTGACCCTTCCCCTTCGAAATCTAATAATTTAAGTCTTAGGGTGCAATTTCAGCTGTCCAGACGCACCTTAGCCTAAGGCCTGGTGCGGCTGAGCTAGTCTGGACAGTCTGTTTAAAGTTTCCTGCCCGAGAGCTCCTCTATTTTGAATGCATGGATGCGCCACTGTTTTATTCCATTAAAGTGAGCGGATAGCTACCGTACATGATCTGTAGTAGATTTTGATCCTTTGTTAAAACAACTCAAATTAAAGTAACGTTAAACAAAGAACGGTAGATACTGTGTGTTGAAATAGAGGACATGATGATAAATTGTGTAGCATAGCTTTCAAAACGAATTGTGTTCTGTAAATAAATACATTGTGTAATAAAATGCCTCAGACGGGATTCGAACCTGCTACCTCTCGCTGTCAAGGCGAGCGTCATAACCATTTGAAAACAGGGGATTCATGGTTGTGATTTTCAGGAGTTCGTGAGATATATTTGTTTTTCATAGTTTCCTCCAGTCTGTGTGATTCTCTCATTATTGTAGCATAGCCACCCAATTCTAAGTCATCGAGGAATCCTTCTTGTCTTCCCTTCCTCATCTTTCAGAACACTGTTTCCCCTAATGTGTGTCATATATCCATTTCTTCTTCCTGTTTCTAATCAGTTTCAACAGCTCTCTGTCTTCACTGACTCTCCTCAATACCTCAACGTTTGTTACTTTCTCTCTCCAATAATCTTTATCGATGGTCTCATTACAACAGCATTTAATTGATCTTCCTCTTTCTTCAAAGTTCAAGATTCTGATGCATACTGTGCTCCATATTAAGCAATTTACAAAAAATTTTCAATGGTTTCTTACCTTGCGTTAAAGAGTAATTCCTTATTAAGAAGATGAACAATAACAATTTAATCCAACTAGGTAGACCTTCTATAATACATTGCTCGGCCTTTGCATAACGTACTCACACTGAGTTTAAATAAACTCGGACAGTACTCAGTAAATTTCCATCCTCTGTAAATGCGTTCGAACGATACGTCCAACAGTAATAACACCGAATGACGTCAAATGTGACGCGATACACAAATAAACTCTGAAAACTGATCAAATATAACCTAGCGCGTTGAAATGATACCAAATATGCATAATGTATATCTGGATTGAATTATAAATATATGTGTTATAAAAAAAATTCAAAATAGCAAATATAAACAAGTTTTTCTTTTAAAGAAACTGGTACATTGTTATGAAATAAACTCCAATGTCTGATGTCTGATCCATAAACATAATTTGCTTAATTGAAAGTGGGTGCGTACATTGTACACTATAGGTTAATGCTACGCATGTGCTAACATTCACGTGATTGAAACATCAATATTTGTTTACATTTATATATGAGATGAACTTACTGATACGCCCAGAACTGCATTTTAACACTGCAAATGTATAAACGTATAGTAGTAACACTGTATTCCGATTATTTTGATGAACACTCCAGCAGAACGATTGGTAACGATGTCTACTAAATTTCGTCTATATTTATATGTGATAGGAATATAATATACGGTACACATTTGACTAGTTTGCGTTGTTCTATACTATATATGTTTAATTCGCTTTCTCTTTATGAACTACATTCGTACTAATAGAACTACAGCTTTTCGTTGACAAAATTAATCAATTACTTATATTATGACAGTTATAGTTTTGTTATTGAAACAAATTCTTTGCTTCTTAATTATTTCTTGTCTTGTTTTAAATAAATAAATAAATACATGAATAAATAAATAAATAGTTTGTAATGATATTACTGCTATTTGAAATGCAAATGCACAATTTGCAGTATTCGAGAGGTGAATAAACTGATGGAAATATTTTTATTAAAACAAGAATGTACTGTACCGGTACTGTATATAACATACACAATAAAAGAAAGTGAATTTCAAGCTCTTATTAAACGAAAATAAACTCTATTTTTACAATAGTTTTACAACCTTCTTCAATGTCAATATTATTATTTGATATACTAAAATAAGTGAACAATAATGCAATGCCATAAATACGCTTTTGACTTGAATTTTTCATAATGTTTATTAGTTTTAAAAAGATCACATTTGGATTTAATGCGTTTTTGTTTTCAGTATACTAAGTCACTAACTAGATCATATTTAACGAAACTTCAGCACGTCTAACATCCCACCATACAACATGTTTATTAAACAATACACACATATCAACTGAGGATGCTTCGTGCCCAGGTGTGCCTGACTCCCCAAACCGACAACCTCGGCTTACAAATTGCGGCTAATTTTTTTTCTATATGAAAGACATCTTCTACATACTATTTTCGACTACTAATCTATTGTCGATGTTAATGCTATATATCTTTTACAATTGATTAATCTTCACTTCAGTAATCACTCCACTACGTCATTTTAAAACGTACCGGTACGGTATTGTACTAAAATATCATTGGTTTCAATCAATGCATCAGTGTAGGCCTATTTCTGTATGTATTGATAAAAATGACATTCGATTCGAAAATCGGATGGGCTAGGAATGAATATGTTATATGATAGCCAATTATATTACTAGATTGAGGATGCGATCCAGTTTGTTCGGGTCCCGTCCAGTTTGACCCGTTTCCGCCCAGTTTGATCCGATGAGGTGATCCCACCTAATCAAATCAGACCAGATCAGATCATAGGTTAGGTTTTTTTTTTTTTTTTTTTTTTTTTTTTTTTTTCATTTATGGCATATATGACTACGCCTGTGTATATATTGTCCTTCAATAACAAATTTTAAGACATATAGCAATATTCGGATATCAGTTATGTGATAACTCCACAAAATCACTCTCGGTTGCTTAAGCAACTGTCTAATCATTCGTTTAAAATAATAAATCATTGCGTTCCATACTTATTTATTATGCTTGTTGCACTTTAGTCCTTAAGACGTTTTAATATCATTTGTATTATTACCAGATTACATGTAAGCACATCCTTATAGCAAGAATTACATATTTATTAGGTTATTGAAAACCTACACATAAGCTTTGATATCAATACAAATTGTTGATATTGTTGTTATATTAGGTTTATTATTCTTGGTGTAAATAGCTGATATTTTAGTTTACTGCAATAATACAGCTACTTTACATACAGTAGACAAGCCATCCTTCATAATGATCATCTACCGCTTTTCATTCACGTAAAGCCACCTCTCCTTAGAGTCGCGTTAATCACTCCTCTGTATAGCATCACTCGAGTCACATTCACTGTGATAAATATAACCACTCCTCTCTTGTGGGAGCGAATGGCGCAGCGGTTGCGTTCCGGTCTCTTATCCTCGAGGTCGAGATCGGGACTCAATCTCCGCTGTGCATTTCGCTCGTCTTTTTGGACAAGACACTTTACCTATGTTTGTCTCTCACCACCCAGGAGTATAAATGGATATCCCATGGTCGTTCACTATTGGGGAGGTAAAAGGCGGCGTGGAGAGGAACTGGCCACCATACCACACAATACCGAGGCTTAATTAGTTACGATGGGCTGCTCATTCTCCTACTTTCAATAAAGAAATACGAGAGTACCGTAACGTTTTTACTCCTCTTTTAAATTTTGCACAATATTCCGTATAATGATATTATGCGGATAAGTATCAAACTAACAATAGTCTCTGGTTAAGATCACTATACAGTTTTCAGCATAGGACCCTCGGCTACTCCTCTGACTTAGACAGAGATGGCGCCAGGATTTGTCTAATGGGGATATGGGGAAGGTCCGATGTCCTCTACGAGAGCGTAAGTGGGCATGGTCGGACGTTGCTAAACATCTCTCGGAACCTCGGAAACTATGAAATTTAGGGATTTTAAAGGCTTATTTTAGAGTCTACTTATGTTAAAAATACATATATTTTTTTCTCTCTCCGATGGATTGTGTTTTATCTCTCCCGACGGGGTCCTGCTTTCTCTTACTGGGGTGGGAGGGGGAGTTATTGTTGTAAAAAAAAAAACCCGTTCTGAATACCAATCTAAAACCCTAATTGTTAGCTAGGCACTTAACTACATATACTGACCACCGTCCATTCATAGTAAAATTGTAATAATACAATAGGATGACGATGTCTAACTGTTTCATTGATTTAAATAAAGAAAAAAATAACTCGTTCCTATAGTAACCATTATTGCGGTTTTATTTAATAACTTTGTGACTTTGACATTTATGTTTTTGTTATTGTCATTGCTTTCAATGGTAATATTATTATTATCATTGTTATTATTACTACGTAATCGTATGTTTTATTGTTGACACATGTCCGTTATGGATTTCCAAGAAATGATTATTCTCTACTTTCTATTTTTCAGGAATAAATATATCAAATGATATGAAAATGAAGCTTTGTAATGCCAGACTATAGTTTCACGTGAGTTTCATTCCACGAAGTATTATGCAAATCAGTGAAATCGTATCTTGATCTAATATGATCAGGCATTAAGCCGTTGATGGAAAGGAAATTTAATTTAATTTAATTCCAGACTCCCCGTAATTAGTTTCAAGCAGAAGGCTGCAGTAAAGAGTGTCTAATGCTGGGAATTGACATGATTAGCTGGAGGATACCTGTTAGCAATAGTGCGGGCGTACTTTAATGTTGTTTCTGTAATAATTTTGGTCGATGTAGTAAGTTTCACGTATGTCTCCTATATAATCATATGCAGGAATGAAACAATTGCATACGTTTATAGAATAACAATTTCTGGTCATAATCTCCACATTAACCCAGTAGGGACAAGAGCAAAGTAGACAAAAAAAAAACAAAAAACAAAAAACAAAACAAAACAAAAAACAAAACAAAACCAAACCAAACCAAACCAAACAAAACAGAATATAAAAAAACTGAAATTTACAAATATAGGCCTACACTTACAAAACCTAACAAAAATCTGTGCTGTTCATCACAACTTGTAATTTTACGCAAACGCCTGATTGAAGCCACACTAAAATGTGGTCTAAGATTCATAATAAACTAGAAACAACAAGAAAATATTGGTATCGATTTATTTTACTTCTGAAACCTTATCTGTTTTATAGCAATCGAGTAGTTGTCGAAAGTTTCTTCTATCGATTTGTTAACAGTAATTGCCTGAATATGCAATCGTTGGTTTGATATCCATGTTCGCACGTCATAGAAGCCTTCCAGTTTCTTAATGGGCTTTTTTGCAGTGTCAATCAGATGTAACAACTCGTCTATCAGACCAGGGCCAAGAATAGGCACAAGTGTTGTTCACAAACATTTCATTTCATTTCTTTAGGCACGAGCATCAAGGATGCCAGTAAGTTTGGCATATCCATTTACCAACAGGGGACTTAATGGACCAGTACACCGGGGTAACTCCCTATCTCGGGATGTACTCTGGTTCGCTGAAGTGCACACGAGCCAAATGCATACACTGGGCCTATGGTTCAAAGTCCTTATCCGAGAAGACTAGTTCCACCACCGGAACCATTGGCGAGTGAGCCGTTCGAACCAGCGTCGATATTGGAGCTGAAGTTGCTGTGCCCCTGACTTAACCGCTCGGCCAATCAACTCGCACGTGTTTGAGTAAGTTTACGCTCTCGTTTTGTGAGATAGCAGCAATATCCATGATGTTTATAAGATTATGATAGTGGACAAAAAAAAAACTTCAGGCTAAGAGTAGAACGTACTTGACACAAACAAGAAGCGCAACAGAAAAAGAAAATACTGAGGTCTGTAAATTACTAAGCATATTATCACTAAATAGTAATAAAGACCATCAACTATAAATAGTCACCAATCTGGAAACCAGAAAAGATATATTGTTGAGATATAACCAATTTTAGCGTTTTCTTTGAGATTATCCTCATAAGTACATATATTTTTATGATATTGTCTCCAAATGAATAATATAAATTTCATCACAAGTTTAGTTAGCTGTCACAACTTAGCCTACGTTCAGTTATAATGTAGTTATGAAAGCGTAGATGTGTATAAGAGACAGATTCTCGACTGCGCATGCTTCTTACCACATCTATCATAATATATTTTCTGAGTTCATATATGGACTCTTGTGATAGCCAATGCACTGACTTCCGGAAGACAATAATTGAGAGAGTATAGTAAGAACTTGTAAAAACAAACATGCAAAAATCGGGACTCAGCAGGAGACTTGGGACCCCTGGGCACTAAACGTGGTTTTTTGATTTCTTTATTTAGAAAGAAATTAAGAAATAATATAACACATGTTTTATAATGGATGTACACAGTTACTGCATGCTGTTATTTATTCTTAAAACATTTAATGGTAGCCAGACATCCAGTCTTTTACTCGTTTAACCCAATTTTCCATAAAAATATGATATTCAATAACACAAAACAGTGTTATCTTACGATGTGCATTGGCTAATATTTTATTTATGAGTCATATATAACAGAATTTATTATATAAAAAAAATAAATGAACATCACTATGTATTTTTTAGTGGTCTTTAATTGGAGGGAAACTTCTGTTGGGTCCGCCAAAACCTTGATCTTTGGTCTTTAAATAGAGGGAGTCAATTTGAAGGACAACTAATTTTGGCATTACAATATTACAATACTGCACATGCACACCATGTAGATAAAAATCCAATTCGAAACAAATTACAAGATAACATATTATACACATTTGCAATCGGTAGATAGTCACCGACTGACGAATAATATTCTGCAGCGATATAGAGTAAGAATAAAATAAATTGATGTAATGTATTTAACATCTATATCACTTTGAGATTTCTGTATAAAGTGCTATATAAATCTAACCACGTCATTACATTACATTATAATTTGTCAACATCACTAAACATTTAACCTAGATATCATTATTTGCTATGATTGATACGATTTTTGTATATGTTCATTTACCATAATTTCCGGTGTGAATTGTTCAGTTCTCTAACAGCCTTATTGAAGGCTCATATCAGTTATGATAATATGTTTTGGTAAATCTCAGAGTCATGATCGGAAAAGAGGTTGGAGAGGGAGTTGGTTGAGATATTATATACTGTCGTTAGTCTCCAGTCTGTAATATAGCAGTTGGTACCTGCCCTGATAGCTAGAGGTTGAAGATCTGAGTGTCCTGCCTGAGACACTTAACTTAATTCAAGAAATAGAACTTCCAAGAAAACGTTGAATAGTTATGCTTGATAACAATGTTCAATGTAAAACAGCGTGGGAGGTTTAAACACATGGCTTGACGATATAGTCCAACTTTCAATCACACTCTTTACTGAAATATCTTGATAGTGTTAAATATGTAAAATTGGCTGTGTGATTACTTCCCATTCAAATGATGAAGAATATATCCAACGACGGTATACAGCGATGTGTGTTAAAGAGAATATCTTGTGCAGAATGTTTTTCAAATGTTCTGAAAGCGTGGGGTAGGCCTACTTTTAGGGATATCGTATTAATATGTGTTGCTCAGCCCTCTGGGCAATTACAATAAGGCTACTTTCAAACGTCTGAATGTGTGCTGCAATAATTCCTTTAGGATGTTACTTAGAATATACTTCGTCACTGTAGTGCTAGAGGTAACGTATAATTGTAGACAATAGCATAATTAGCGGAATTCGTACGATTTTCTATTCTGAGATTTCACAAACGCATGGTACTAGCAAAGAGTAAATAGAACAAGAGAGCAAAGTCCCGTTCGTAAAAACGTCACGCCTGTGTAGGACGCACACTAACGGTTGTATGTTCTCTTTGGTACTAGTCGTAAGGTACCGGTACTTGTTTCCACTATTTGTAGTACCAATGTACTCTGTGATTCGAGGTTACATGATAGGTGCACTGGATTTATCTTTTGTATACGGACAGTGGTTAAATCTCCGCCTTCTGCTTTTTGCAGCATTTACTTTAATTTGTTGTATTCTGTACGTCATGTACTTGTAGGTCTACTAATATTTATTTATGTATGTGATGTGTTAGGCATTAAAATATGCTCATTTATGTTTGATGTTACATCAAGCACGTACATTAATTACTAAACATGTCAAGCTCCCAACATATATATATATATATATATATATATATATATATATATATAT